TTTTTTCTTTTTGCTTATGTGGTGCTGAGGAATTGAACCCAGGGCCTCATATATGCAAAGCAAGCGCTCTACCACTGAGCCACCTTCCCAGCCCTGTCATCGTTTTAATATGAGGACATTGGGTAATTATTACACAATGAGACTCTGAATCTCACAAGTTCTGCTCTGTGTTTATGAACACAGTGTAAACTGCAGTTGGGGGCGCAACTCCATGATTGCCAGTCGAGATCAGAAGTTAATACTTGAGGAAAGAGGTTTTCTCTGGATGCTGGTCATCAGTGGGTTATGGCCTTGAGCAGGACCTCTGCAGATGCCAGTGGGCTGGGCAGTAGAGTGCCACGGCCTCCCGATGCCACCACGTGCTGTGCTGCCGTGCTCTGCATGGCTTCCACTCCAGGTGCTGAGGGGAGACTTTGCCACTTCCTTATCACTTAGTGTCTTCAGATACTGCAAGTGGGTACTGTTCTTAACACCTAGCATTGACAGAGACCCAACTCCTTGTTCGGCTCTCATCCTTCGTGAGGAAGGGAGGCAACTCTCTTTCCACTGTTGGTGTTCTTGGTGTGGTCACAGATGTTTTTATTTGTTAGTTTGTTGGACTACAATAGCACAACTATTGCTAAGTTTTCTGCTGTTCCTGTTTGACCAGAGTTCCATTAGGGTCTCTTAGTCTGTTCTTCAGCTATTCTGTTTTTATTCTCTGTTTTATTCTCAGCTATTGTCTGTTCTCTTAGCCATTCTTCAGCTATAAGTCTAGGGTGTACGTGGCAGAAAGAAACTCTGAATCCATCTTCTGTCACATGGAGGTTTTAAGTTTATCACTGTTGGCCTCTGTCTGTTATTGGTACAGTCAACCAGGGCTTTTAGTTGTGCTTACTGGGATTGCCAGAAGTCCTGTAAGTAGAACTTGGAGAAACATATGTACAGAGTTTAAAGCTATAGTTACACCGTACCATGTTCTTCCCAGTAATTAGATTGGTGAGAAACTCTTGGATATTTTATGGATAATTTTCTCAATTCCAGTTCCTAACATAAATAAGCTTTCCCAGTTAGAGGTCCTACTGGTTTAAGAGTATTGAAAAACAAATTGTATTCTAGAATTTTACTGCAGTTTATAATGATAAATCATATAAATTTATATAATTTTTATGCATCTATAAGATATATAAGTATTTTAAATAATAGAAACTACATAATTTGGAATAATACTGTATATCAGTATATTAGTGCACTATAATTAGATAACCTGTTTAGCCAGCCAGAGGCCTGGAGTCCAACCCAAAAGAGAAACAAGCAGAAACTAGTATAATCACCTCCGAAACGTGGGATCTTAGTTACTGAGATCTAAATAAATTTTGTATTTCTAATAAAGTTAGGGAAATACAATGGAAATGTTATTTAAATTTGTCATTTTAAGTGGAACTAGCATTGTTTTAGTGTATTTAAAAATAGTTGTGAGGATGAAATTTAAATTTTTTGCCATAGTTATCTCTCTCATATACAAACCTAAAAAAATCAATTTTTATTGTGAACCAATTGATAGATTTTTGTTTGTCCCAAAGACTTATATGGTAATCACTGAGTTATAATGATTTTAAAATAAATTTTAAATTTTAAAATAACTTTTTTCTAGGTATAGTGAAGGAGAGATTCGCTTTAACTTAATGGCCATTGTGTCCGACAGAAAAATGATATATGAACAGAAGATAGCAGAGTTACAAAGACAGCTTGCAGAGGTTTGTGACCATGTTTTATTTGTTACAATGTTGTAGATTATTCTCCTGGGGAAGGTATTTGCTTTCTTCTGTTTTTTTTAGAGCAATTTTTTTATTGTGATTAAGTGATTACATAAATTTTACAGCATTGTGCGATAGTGATACTTAGTTAAAGTCACAAACACATTCTAACCTTCATGGGGCAAATTGTCTTTATTGTGGTCTATAAAGTTTATGAGTTCTATGAGCTTTGACAATATAGTTATTTCTTCCACATCGGTGATGTATTCGTTTCTTTCCTTTTGCATAGTGTCAGCTGTTCCCTCTTTCCCACTCTTTCCCTCCCTCCCATCGCTGCCCTTGAGTTGCTTAGCTTGTTTTGATCAATGACCAGTGCAGCTAATGGGTCCCGCTGTTGTATGCTTTCCCTTGTTTCCTTTTGTTTCTGTGTCCTCCTGGTTTCCCTCTCATGTTTGTTTCTTGAGTCTCATTTACTTTGTAAAACCTCCTTATATTTTGGATTTAACATCTACTTATCAGGGAGACCATGTGCTTTTTGTCTCTTTGCTCTTGGCTTACCTCACTCTACATGATTTATTCTAGTTCCATCCATTTCCCTGTGAATGCCATAATTTTGTCCTTTCAAATGGCTACATATTCCATTGTGTATAAGTACCACAATTTTTGGATTCATTCATCTGTAGTGGGGCTTGTTTCCATATCCTGGCTATTGTGAACAGTACTGCAATAAATATAGAGGTGCACGTGTCCTTGTACCCTGGTTCCTGTTGTTCAGGATAGATGCCTAGGAGTGGTATGGCTGGGTCATAGGGAAACTTTTTCTATTTTTTTAATGGTTTTTATTGTGAAAATACTGTAGAGAGGGGTTACAGTTACATGAATGAACAAGGTCATGATCTTTTTCTTTTTTTTTTTTTTTTTTGTCGGTCGTGGGACTTGAACTCTGGGCCTGGGCGCTGTCCCTCAGCTCTTCAGCTCAAGGCGAGCGCTCTACCACTTGAGCTACAGCGCCACTTCCGGTTTTCTGGTGGTTTATTGGAGATAAGAGTCTCAGGGTCTCTCTTGCCCGGGCTGGCTTTGAACCGTGATCCTCAGATCTCAGCCTCCTGAGTAGCTAGGATTACAGGCGTGAGCCACCAGCGCCCGGCTCTTTTTCTGTTTTTTAAACAGTAGATTTGGAGGATTTGGACTTGCTTAGATTTTTGGAATCTTGCTTTGCCACTTTTTGTTTCTCAGCTTCCTGTGGCATGAGGCAAGTTGCAGTTACTGCTCAGGTCATAGAGGGCGAAGGAGGCAGTGTACAGAAACCTTGCATGTAAACCACTTACCACAGCGATTGGCAAATGCTAAATGAGGATTAACAATGAACTGTTCTTGTGCTAAACAAGTCAGAACATAAGTCTCAAGAGTTCACTGGGTGTATGTACATTTATGTGGATTCTGTATGGTTACTTTTATGGTTACCTTTCTGTAGTAAATATGATTGGAAAGGAAAATTAGTAGTAGAACAGGGTTGCGAAGGTGTCTCATTGGTAGAGTGCTTGGCTTGCATGTATGAGGCCCTGGGTTCGATTCCTCAGCACCACATAAGCACAAAAAGCCAGAAGTGGTGCTGCAGCTCAAGTGGTAGATTGCTAACCTTAGGCTGAAGAGCTGAGGGACAGCGCCCAGGCCCAGAGTTCAAGCCCCACAACTGACAAAAAAAAAAGAACAAAGTCTTGCCTTCCATTACATATCTTAAGAATTCCAAAATTTACTTTGTAGCATAATAGAGAGGACTATAGCAACATTGTATGTCACAGTTCAGTATATTTGAGGTGAAAGATCCATTCCCATTATTCCAGAAATGTGATAAGCACTATTTAGGACTTGATCTGAAACTCTCTAACATGAAGAGTAGGGATTTGAGTGTAGTTGATCACAGGCGGCCATGTAAGTGTTCTGGTCGTAAGCTCAGTCATTAGGGTGTACCATTTCCTTTTTCCCAAGGAGGAGCCTATGGAGACTGATGAGGGCAGCAGTATGTTAAGTGCTATTCAGTCAGAGGTGGCCAGGAATCAGATGCTCATTGAAGAAGAAGTACAAAAATTAAAGAGATACAAGGTATGATTTAAAAACTACATTCCTCTAATGTTTTATTAAAAGTACTGTGGTTTGTGATAAGGTTTGCTGAATGCCTGATGGCTTTTCCTCCCATCGTTTACCAATTTTCAGAATAATATGTTTGTTTTCTAACACCCTTCAAAGATCAGTCATGTGGTTTCTTTAAAATACTGTTTTGAGCTGGGGGCTGGTGGCTCACCTGTACTCCTGACTCCTCGGGAGGCCAAGGTCTGAGGCTCACGCAGCGCCGCCAGGAAAGTCCATGAGACACTTCTTTCCAATTACCAAAAATCTGAAAGTGGTGCTGTGGCTCAAGTGGTGAGAAGGCTAGCCTTGAGCACAGAGGTGATGGCAGACCTAGGCCCTAGCATGCTGGCTGGGCTTAAACATGTTTTTAAAAGCCCCACAAAACCGTCCTCATGAGCTTTAGCTCTCTGTGGTTATTTTTCCTGTGGATGTCAGATCACCCCATCTTCAATCCATTAGGAGCAACTTTAGGCTATCTCTGAAGGGTTCCCCCCCTCCTTCCCCGTCACCAATGCCAGTGATTGAACTCAGTGAGTGCCTTGCAATCACTGGTTTTTCTTGTCCACAGTTGGTACTCTACCACTTGAGTCACAGCTCAGCCCAGCTTTTTGCTGGTTAATTGGAGGAGACTCATGGACCCTCATTCCTTGGGTTGCCTTCAAATGATTGATCCTCCATGCCTGACCCTTACTAGTAGCTAGGAATACAGGAGTGAGCCACCCAGGCCCACCTCTCAAGCTTTCATTGTCACCTGGAACACCTGTTCTCAGGCCTCTTTTTTCATGTAACAAGATGTTTTGGACTCTTGTATATTTCATGCTTCAGATTGAAATCATTTTTTTTCTCACAAGTTCTGAGTTTTCACAGTGGAATTGGTATTTCAAAGCCACCATCTGAAGCCTTTGAACTTAGCTGACTTCAGAGGCAGAGAGTGGGAGATTGTAATCAACATCAGCCCAGCCAGGTGTCAGTGGCCCACGCCTGTAATCCTAGTTACTTAGGCTGGGATCTAAGGATTGTAGTTTGAAGCCAGCCTGAGCCCGAAAGTCAACTCTCATCTCCAGTTTATAACTAGAAAACCAGCAGTAGAGCTGTCAGGAATAAAATGTAAATTCTTTTCAGAATCTGATACGGTCCAAATGTTTGGTAAAGCTCTGTTCTAAAATAAGGGTAAAATGGTTCTCATACTGACATAAATTAACATGCTAAGATTTAACTTACTGAGCTGGGAATGTGGCTTAGTGGGTGAAGTGCTACTTGCCTGGCATGCATGAAGCCCTGGGTTCTATTCCTCAGTACCACATAAACAGAAAAGACTGGAATTGATTCTGTGACTCAAGTGGTGGAGTGCTAGTTTTGAGCAAAAGAAACTCAGGGACAGCACCCAGGCCTTGAGTTCAAGCCCCAGGACTGACACAAAAGAAAAGATTTAACTAAGCCATTCCAGTGCCTCATGCCTGTAATCTAAGTTACTTAGGAGGCTGAAATCTGAGCATCAAGGTGTGAAAACAGCTCAAGCAGACAAATTTGAGACACTCTTATTTCTAGTTAACTAGCACAAGAGCCGGAAGTGAAGTAGTGGTCGATTGCCAGCCTTGAGTGGAAAAAGCTAAGTGAGACTGTGAGGCCCTGAGGCTTTCCTGTTTGGACCGGCTTCAAACCTTGATTCTCAGATCTTAGCTTCCTCTGTATTGAGGATTATAGGCCTCAGACAGTAATACGTAGTTTACAGTTGGTAGTTTTGAACTAGCCTTAGATTGCACATTTAACAGCCTCTGTTAAAGCTGAAGGCAGGAAGCCACAAAAGTCACCACATTGTTTTCTTTTTCTTATGTAGTCCATTTCTGTTTTAAATTAGATGCTAAGACTGTCAGAAAATTAGCAGAAATGTAATTAGTGTAATCTGATGTGTTGTATTTTCAGATTGAAAATATCCGAAGGAAGCATAATTATCTGCCCTTTATTATGGAATTGTTAAAGACATTAGCAGAGCACCAGCAGTTGATACCACTTGTAGAAAAGGTAAGTATTTTAATAGTAATGAGTAACTAACATTTTTTTTTTGCATAAGTTGAGATAAAATTTCTTGAAGCATTTTTAGTTTTATTCTATAGTATTTACCTATTTTTTATATTCTATGAGAGTTAGTTTGGCTTAATACTCTGCAATAAAAGAGTTGCCCAACAATATTATTATCAAACTAAAATTTAAAACACTGTTCTTTATTTGAGCAAAACCTATTGTAGATAATGTAGATAGTAGAGTTTTTCATGTCTAATTTGGCATATATTACATTTTATCATAGTTTTTTTTTAATATAGTTTTGAACTGCCATGGACATGATAAGAGGGCAAAGGATGGTCTGGACTGAGGAATAGTCCTTTTACTGTCCGTTATGAGGCTAACAGTGAGTGAAAAAAATGAGTTCTAAGATTTTCTTTTTTTGGGGGGTGGGGTCTGGTCGTGGGGCCTGAACTCTGGGCCTGGGCGCTGTCCCTTAGCTCTTCAGCTCAAGGCTAGTGCTCTACCACTGAGCCACAGCACCACTTCTGGCTTTTTCTGTTTATGTGGTGCTGAGGAATCAAACCCAGGGCCTCATGCATGCAAGGCAAGCGCTCTACCACTGAGCCACCTTCCCAGCCCGAGTTCTAAGATTTTTTTTTCGTCAATAGAAGGAACTTAATAAAATACTTGTATAATAAATGAAATGCAGTTAAATTGTTTTAAAGTTTATACTGTAAATCAGCATTTCTGAAAATGACCATCACTGGGTACTCTTTAAAATACCTGTTACCTGGCCCCTCCCCAGATATTCTGATATTAAAGGAATCTTTAATAAGTTCCCCAAGTGATTCTAATACAGCTGATCTGAGTACCACATTTTGAGCAACACTTTGAGAAGACACTACTAGGCAAATAACATTCTGGACCATTAATTTAAAGACCAGAACAAAATGGTAGGTATATTTTCCTTACTAATTTTTAAAGTATACAAATTGAAGTACATGTCAGCCTTAGCCGTTTCGTATGATCAGTTACAACTAATACGAGATTTGAGATCTTCACGCTTTTTCTATTACCTGTATCATGTGTTCCAACTTTTAGCAGTAGATTAAAAAATTATTTTGGGATATTATTAAGTCTTCTCTTTCTCCCATGGTCTTCCTGTTTATGCGTCTCAGAGCATTCCAAGATGGGAAACTGACTTAAGGTTTTAAATGAATAGTTTAGGCTCCTGTGGTTCTCAGACTTGCATGGTTAAAGTGCTCTTTGTATGAAACACCATGGAAAATAATGTATCATCTGAAGAATTGATTGGAATCGGATTTAAATTTTATATAAGTCTGATAAGGTATCACTGACATTGTAGATTTTTGCCTTAAGGTTTGTCTTTGATACAATTTTTCTTGTGCAATTAGAAAAAAAATTTAATTTTTCATGACAGTGTCTGCCTCAGTATTTGTTTGTTTGTTGGTCATGGGTCTTGAAACTTGGGGCCTGGGCACTGTCCCTGAGCTCTTTTGCTCAGTCTATTACTAGCAATCTATTTCTTGGAGCCACAGCTCCACTTCTGGTTTGCTGGTTAATTAGAGATGAGTCTCATGGACTTTCCTGTCCAGGCTGGCTTTGAACCTCAGTCTTCAGATCTCAGCTTCCTGACTACCTAGGCATCAGCTACAGGCACCCAATGTTCCCCCAATATTTTGAGAGCATTCAGAGCAACAGTTTTTCAGCTTTGTGATAGAACCATAATTCCTGGGTCACAGCACTTTGGAGATGAGGTGGCAGTGTTTGATAACAACTGAGACACCAACTCCATTTGCTCTGTTTGCTTTTTTTTTTTTTTTTGAGGAAGTACTTGTTGACTTAATTTTGCCCATTTCTGGAAAACATTCTGTAACAAGTGATATTGAGACACACTAAATCCTTGTATATCTCCAGTATCTACTATTCCTCCCAGGCTCTGAAGAAATTGAGACTCATCATTAGGTTGGAATTCTTGAAGTATTTTTAGTTGTTCATCAGAGATACAGCTGCAACCCTATTGTGGTCAGTGAGGATATTCTCCAGGGTATGATCTGAATTCCTTTGCTGGAAGGCACTTTTTTCCCTCTGGTTATTTTTCAGATAGGGCCTCACTTCCTGCCCAATCGCTTGGACCGACTATGCCCGTTTCTGGCTTTCCTTCACAGCTAGAATAACAGGCCCACAACTTTTAACATGTAGAGGATGGTGTGTTTTTCATGCTGTTTAGAAATACGGTAATATTTTTCATTTTTTAGCAAGGACGGAACAGCACTGAGGTTCTGAGTTTATTTTTAGGCAAGTTATTTGTGTTTGTCTCCTTGGTACTGACAATCGAATTATACCTGCCAAACTTTCTGGATGACTGAATGAGATCCAGTTTATAAAGTGTGGGAACGGTCTGTCATGTGGCATTACCTATGACTTGTTTTATATACCCTTTGAGTGTATCTAAATTATGCAATTTAATGTATGAGTATTTTTTTATACTTGTTCATTCTCTAAAGTTGTTATAAACCAATAAATTTATTTCTGTAAATTTCTACTAGACATTCTGTTAAGTATAATTTAGAGATCAATAGAAAAGAAGTACATGCATTTTTTTCAAAGTATGCTCGAAAATATTTTCATTATTTTAAAATAGGGAACTTGTCTGGGCATGATGGCTTTTTTCTTTTTTCTTTTTTTTTTATGGTGTGAGTCCTGGGGCTTGAACTCAGAGTCTAGGCACTGTCCCTGAGCTTTTTTGCTCAAAGCTGGTAGTACTCTACCACTTGAGCTACATCTCTGCTTCTGTTGTTTTGGTGGTTGATTGGAGATAAAAGTTTCATGGACTTTTCCTGTCCAGCCAGCTTTGAACCAGGATCTTTAGATCTCAGCCTCCTGAGTAGGATTACAGGGGTGTGTCCCTGGTGCTCAGCTTCCCCCCCCCTTTTTAATCGATGGCAAATCTTTCAGTTTTAAATTGTATGATAGCAAACACCCCTCCCCAAAGACCAGCATAGCTGGCATCAGCTGGCATTGGTTGGGGCTGTGCAGCTCAGGCGTGTTGATGACTTGAGTTGTCTTACCGAGTGTGCCCAGCTCATGGTATAGACACTGAAAATGCAGCACCGCTGTAGACTGTTGTCTTGGACTTCTGTTGGAGTTGTACTGTAACTAACCTGGCCAAGTTGGGTCACACGAATGGGCACTCGTTTCCTCATTTGCTGCAGAATAAGTGAGAAATCAGCCACATTAGAGTTATGGGCATCAGGTAAAATGATGAGAGAACCCATTTTGATGTAATACAAGTAATGCATGAAAGACACCACAGGTACACATGGTACATGATCCTTCGGTGATGGTACTAAATTCACTTAAACTGTTGGGTTAAACTCAGTGAAATACGCAGCAGTAATGTAGGATTGTTTCCTCTGAATACCTGGGGCTTCCCGCCCAGCCAGCATAGAATGCCCTCAGCACATCTTATTTTAGTATGCTCTAAAACCGACTTGAGATTTTATAATACCCTACCTTCAATTGTTAGGCAAAAGAAAAACAGAACGCAAAGAAAGCTCAGGAAGCCAAATGAAGTGGGTGCGTTGGGGTGTGGACGCTGCCCTGCGCTGCTGTCACGGAGAGGTGGAAGGGACTTGGAGCCACATCCTGAAGGACTAGCGCATGTCTGCAGCAGCAGCGGTGACTTGTCTTTAATGCATGGATTCCAAACTCCCTGCCTGCATCTTCGGAATAAAATGCTGTCATGAGTGCTTGCTCACATTCCTTCTTTGACATTGGGTCTGGACGTACGGAACTGCAGTCATGAACGTAGATCATCTTCAAATCATACTCTCTACCTGTAATTGTTCTAATGAAACCTCTTGATGTATTGGTTTAAGTATTTCTAATTATAAATGACAGGTCTTAATTAAACCAGATCACTTAAGAGAAAAAAATTAATTTCTGTCATATATGTTTTGAGAACCTTAAAGCTGGATTTTATCTCATACTGATTATTTGATGTTCATGTAAACCATCGTAAAAAAAACTAAAGTACTATTTCTAGTTATTTTTTAACTGCTGCCCGTTTTATCGTAGCAAACTTTCTTCAAATGTTTGGGGTTGTTTTGTTGTGGAACTGTTTGAGGAAGTCTGAATATTATACACATTTCAGGTTAAGAACACATTGTAGGCTGGAGGTTGGAGACTCCGAGTTAAAACCCTAGTATTGCCCCCCCTCCAAAAAAAAAGTGTTACTCTCAATTTGGCAACTTTTTCAAACTGTTCTTTATTGAAAATAATCCTGACCGTAGGTCAATTTATGTGCTTCAAAAAGGAAGGTGGCAGCCGCAGTAAAGAATACTTTTACCCTATTTGAGTAAGTTTACTTCAGCCTCTATTTCCCTGAGCCTCGGACAATTTGCGTATAACAGATTTTTTTTCCCCCTTGATTTACTGATTCTTTTTTTTTTAAGGATTTGTAAAAATATGTATTTGTCAGATATAATATACACTTTCAGAATAGTTTACTGTGATTCTTGCTCGTATTTCCCCCAAGTTAAACTTTTAAAGGGAAGTTAAAATTTTTTTTTTTTTTTTTTTTTAGTATGAGGCTTGAACTCTGGGCTGGGCCTGTCCCTCAGCTCTTCAGCTCAAGGCGAGCGCTCTACCACTTGAGCCACAGCGCCACTTCCAGCTTTTTCTGCTTATATGGTAGTGAGGAATCCAACCCCAAGCCTCATGCATGCAAGGCAAGCACTCTACCACTGAGCCACCTATAAAACTTCTTTTTATAAAGAAAATAACTTGTTTTGTCAAACACATTTTGGGGGCTGACCCATGATTTTTAAACATTTATTATAGAGTGTAATTCATTTTATTGACTGAATTCTGTTCTCCCCTTCTTCCAGCATCACACGAATTTTGAAGGGTTATTTTAAGCTTATTAATCATGGTACTGTTAAATTGCTCAGCACTCCCGAGTGGGGAATCAGTGAGATATTGCTCCTCTGTAATTGCAGTTGCAAGTAAGAATCTGTGGGTTCCCATTTGTTGGGTGGATATATTTTCCTTATTCTAAAAGTGGTGATAGATGTTTCAAAGCTGTGATATTACAGTTTAAGTTTTAAGTAAGGATTATCTTGGATAATTGAGACTCACCACTTCTGTGCTTAAACTTCCTAAAGCAGTAACAAGGCAGGATCGCTGCAGAGTAGTAAGCAACAATTACATGAGTAGAGCAGGAGAGAGAGCCTGAAGCCAGGTTCCTATATTCCTGATGATTTGTGATAGAGGTGGCAGACAAGTAACACTTGCAAGCACAGGAGCCAGAGGAGAGAAATTAACAGGAGAGTAGCCAAGCATCAAAGGGAAAAAGATTGTAGCAGCTAAGGAGGAAAAATCTGTTTCCATCACAGAAAGAAATCAATAACCATAAAAGATAATCAGAACAAAAATCTTGTCATAAAGACACAATTAAGAGCAGTATCAAATGACACTTTATAAAACTAGCTTATGAGGTATAAGGATTTGTCTTCATCTAATTCTGGTGAAATTCTTTGATAGGCATTTCCATACTGTAAGAATGGCTTATTTTGTCTGCAGCTTCTTCGATGATTACAAATGCTTTGTGACACTTGAAATCATTTCTGCTAGTGAATAAAGACATATGACTTCTCCTTGTCTTGGTTCATACATTGTTGCTTTGAAATGTCATTAAGCTAGTTCTGGATATATAAAAAGGATGATGGAAAAGAAATCTAGAAATACATGTTTAGTGGATGGTTTTGAGGGATTATTTGAAGAAAACTTGTTTCATTTTTGCCTTTTCTAGAATTTCATGAGTGGGTAGATGAAGACTATTCAGTTTTATGCTTTTTTTTTTTTTCTTAACAACCAATTCTATGGCCAGTCTTGTGCAGTTGTAAATGAAGGCCTGCCACGTTGTAGTGCCGGCTAAAAGCTCCTGCTAGCCCAAGGTACATGCTCTTTTCCCAGCAGAGAGCAGTCAGCTCACCAGCTCAGATGGTTGATTGGGTCATGAGACTGTTAAGACACAGTGCCTGTGAAAACATTTTTTATGTGTTGATCAGTGCCTTTTTTTTGGAGGTCATGGGCTTGAACTAGGTGCCTGCTCACTTTCCCTGAGCTCTTTTGCTCAAGGCTAGTGTTCTACCACTTTGAGCCACAGTACCACTTCCCAGTTTCTGGTGGTTAATTGGAGATGAGAGCCTCATGGATTTTCCTGCCTGGGCTGGCTTTGAACTGTGATCCTCAGATCTCCGCCTCCTGAGTAGTTAAGATTATAGGTGTGAGTCACTAGTGCCTGGTTTGATCAGTGCCTTTAATCCTAATAACCCATTGCTAGCTATAATCAGAATTGTTTTCACAAAGGAAGCTTTCATTCTTGTCTGATAAGAATGAGGATTTAAATTATTCCCTTCCTAGAAACAAGTAGAAATGTAACATGTCTGATTTTTACTACCCATAGTTCACCAGGGCGAGGTGGCAAGAACATTGTGTATTACTTAGTGATCCTTTTCCCTGTGTACTGCTGTGCTCTTGTGTGTTAAGTCTTGAGTGTTCTGCCTGTGTTCTTACAAGACGTGTACTATTTGTTAAACTGTTGAAGCCAGAACTACCAAGCTCAGATACACCCGTGCACTTGTGCTGGATTCTAGCTACACTGGTAATCCCGGTTTCTAGTAACTCAACCACAAATTTTCTTGAACCTAGAAAGCTTTGTGGACTGTCTTGGAGAACTTTGATGAAACCAGGTCGTTGGGCTGCCTACTCAGAAGTCTGCCAGGAATCTGGCAGTGGCAGCATAGCTGCAGTAAACTTGAAAATGACTTCCAGTTCCACCTAAAGCAAAGGCAACAGCCAGGCAGGGAGGATAAAGGCAGAACACAAATATTGGGAAATAAAAAAGTGTGAATGTTTTGCTCAGGCAATCTGGGGGCCCATACTGGGTCCAAGGGGTTATGAAAATCTAAGAAAATGGAGGATTTCCACAAGGAATAAAGAATCATTTCATGAAGTGACTTGCAGTATACTTTGGGATAAGAATGTTGTAACTTTACATAATGAAGACAACCGCACTTGCCGCTGACAGAAGCAATGGGTCTGGATATTAACTACATCCAAATCTTAACTTCCTTTCCAGAAGGCAGACCTGCCATGTGGCAAACAAATCTAAGGACATAAGGAAGTGTGCAGGGAGAGAGACCAGCATGGGCAAGAGCTCTGAAGGCGGTGGTAGAATGTGGGCTGGGTCAGCAGAGACCAGGGCTGGCTTGTGCAGTCTCAAAAGGTCAAAGTCAACAGTGCTGTCAAGTGTGAGATGCTCCATATACCTGAGCATCAATATTGGTGAAAGAAATTAAGTCCAAATAATTTTTTTCTTCTGCCTGCCTGGGTCTTTTCCCTGAGCTTTTGCTCAAGGGTAGCACTCTACCACCCCACTTTTGGGTTTTTTGGAAGTTTGGTGGAGGTAAGAATCTCAGGGACTCTCCTGCCTGGGTTGGCTTTGAACTGTGGTCCTCAGATCTCAGCCTCCTAAGTAGCTAGGTTACAGGCATGAGCCACCAGCACCCTGCTAATTCTCGAATGTCCAAATACTTTGCTTTTCCAAACAACATCACAGTCAAAAAGCTTTCCTGAAGACTCCAGGCTGGCTAAAAGTATTACATTACTCAAGTGAATTATACTTAATGTGCTAATAAAGTCAAAAATAACGTTTCAAAATGATCATGTTAATTAAAGTAGAATGGCTATTTTGGCTTGCAAAGTGGTCTGTAAATAGGTACGTGTAAACATGAATACAAGTCAGATGGAAGAAATAAAATATATCACTATAAAGTTCCAGAAACACTTTATTTAAAAATGGAGTTGTAAATGCATAACAAAATAACATAAGTAATAAATGTAATAAAAATAAATAAGGAGAATAATGTATTATATAAAATAAAAACAACATAGTAAAAGGTCAAATGTTTATAATTGAACACAACTGTAAACGAACAACAATATACGTAGATTCTAATACTTCCTGAAGTCCTTACCTTCTACTCCCATGCGGATATGATCAGGACCCAAAGATTAAGTAAGAGGGAACAAAGATGATTCAACTTTCTCTTGAAATGGACTGACCCTGTTTTCATGTTTTATTTGTTCCTTCAAAGCATTTATCTTCTAATTCTTTAAAACCTTTTTCAGTATTCCTTTATTAGAATGGGGAATTTAGCTTTACAAGGAGAACAGTTCATTTACCTTTTTTTTCAATTTAAAGAAAAATACGAGATCCATTATACAACAGACTTTTTTTACATCTCTACAAAACCGATTCTGCATTTTTAACTGATCCGACAGTACAGGATTTCTTAAAATCCTGTGAAGATTTAAGTATAGTTACTTTGTTTCTTCAAACAAATGTAGCACAAGGTATTGATAAAATATTAAAAACCATTTCATAAAGTTGCAGTTTAACCATTATAGACTGATGAGGTCAGGGGTAAATCCAGTTTGCTAACTATTGAAAAGAATTCAGATTCACTCAAATTATAGTGCTCTGGAAACACAAAGATATTATTTTCTTTTAAACTCATCCAAATGAAACGTGAATTTACAAGAGAGAAGCGGGTTGGGGGGGCGGGGCAAGAGGAGGGAGAAGAGAAGAGAAATAGGAAGAAAAAAGAAAAAGCAGCAAAAACCCAAGTGTAAAAGATCTCCGGCGAGGCCTTGTTTCACCGCGCGTGCCCAAAGCCTTTGCCCACGTCCTGCAGGACCCTCATAGGCACGAAAGAGAGGGTCTGCCACCAGGTCCTCGAGGAAACGGAGGACTTCATTGCTTGGGAGTGAAACTATCAACTAATCTTATGAATACTGGTTCTCCAAACTTCCTAATGAGGAAAATTTTGCCTTCATGATCATTTCAAAGGGAACTTTTTTTTTTTTTTAACTGTCTCCTATAAACTTGGTAACACAGGGCAAATGTACATGTTCTTGGTTTTAAAAATATACTCCACCTATACTTTGTCTAGATTAATGTGTCTAGATAATTATTTAAAGTGAGAGACAAAAATCTTCCATTAAAAAGAACTGGAAAAAAGTGCCAATTTGATCTTTTTGAAAGTGGAGTAAAACGCTGAGGTTAAAACAAAGTTCTGTCAATTTCCTATGTACAAAAAAGGTCAGTTATTCCTAACTGGTCTAAAGACAGGTCCACTTGTCACTCCCAGCAAACTGTAGTCTCTGTAACCCTATAAGTTACACAGCAACAGTTCTAGAAATCACAGCCAGGCTGAAAATGGTCAAGACACAGAATGACTGCTGTCAGTGTCTGCTTTCCTGCAGAGCTGCATGTCCACGCGCCACAGGGCAACAAGTGAGGTCAGAAATCCTATCGCTAGGCAGCAATGGCTGGTGGAGAGAAGCCCATTCAGGGAGCAGTTGGCACAGGAGACATGGGGTTCAGAAATGGTGGATGTTTAGTTTGCTTGGAGGTCACAGCATGGCTTAAAGAAAACACACACACACACAAAGATCTATGAGGGGAAAGGCTGCAATGATATTAAACCGAGTTTGAAAATCACAAAACCACAAAAGGCAAAACTGCCACAATCTACTTGCTGCTATGTGTGCTTCGAGTGGTTTGAGAGGATTGGTCTGACATTATTTTATAGGTACAAAATAAATAAAATTAAGGAGACAAGGATAACAAGATTGTGGTTGACTAAGCTTCTTGTTTTGTAGGTCAATGCTATGCTACTCCAACATTCCTAGTAATCCCACAGGCAATAATTTCTTAATCGAGAGAAAGTCGTTCCTGCACTGCAACGTCTTCCTCTTCCCCATCAGGGTTGAACCTATTGAAATGTATACTGAAATCAGCCTCAGACTCGGCATTGTCAAACTCAGCTGAGCCGGAGCGTGCAGGAGGCAGAGCGCTAGCTTCTGGCTGGCATAGTGTCGGAGTCTGACCCGGACTGCTGTGCTGATTCACAGGGCTGGACTTCTGTTTTGGTGGAGATGGCAAAATGGCATTGGGAAATCCCATGTTGTTAAGGGCCTCCAGAGTTCCATCTGGGTCAATCATGGCATTGATCGCTGAAGAAGAGAAAACACAAGGAAAAAGGGGAAGTATGTAACTATCTGCAGTTCAATTTGGACATGACTATAATTTCTGATTTGGATACTTTCAGAATCAGTATATGAGTGGTCCATATATAGCTAATCCTCTAATACTGTACTTACAACCCACTCAACACCCCTGTGGCAAGTCTGCACAATAGATCTCACAGACCTGGGTATTTTCCTGGGTCCCTCAATGTGTCCTTCAAGGGCATTTCAGAGAGGATGTACATACAATTCAAGAAAGACCTGAAATTTGCTTTCATTAATAAAAAAGAACCATGAAAAGACTGAGTACAGCTTTAATATATACATTCCCAGTGGTACCTGTGGGCTCAGAACTCTGTATTTCTGAATGTCCTACCCACAGTGTGCTGTCACTGACACTGGCTGAGTCCTCACATCCAGGCAGCCCCTAGCCACAAGCCTGCAAGCTCTCGGGGAAGCCAGGCAAAGACCCGCCTCCACACTGAGCGCGCGCTCGGTGGGGAGGGGAAGGTCTCGCGTCCTGGTTTTCAATTTGGCACTGGAGAAGGTAAAGAACTAGGAGATGGAAGCACTGTAGACGTGAGAATCATTCAAGAGCCTTTTCAGAATATACTCTGATTCTATCACTGTGTCAGCAAGCCATGTTTTAATTAATGGGAGCATGTAAGATCATTTAAACTTATTTAATTTTATTTTTTTTCCTTTTAAACTTATTTTAATATATTACTTATATACAATGTGTAATATGTAATAGACTTATAATAGCTAATCTATTATCAGATTTAAGTACAAAATATGCTCAAGATTTATCATCATTATAGTTTTGATTATTATATTGGGTTTTAAACTTCCCTATTAGCCAGGTATCCGTGGCTCACACCTAGCTGCTCAGGAGGCTGAGATCTGAGGATCTTGGTTCAAAGCCAGCCCAGGTAGGAAAGTCCATTGTCTCCAGGTAACCACCAAAAAGGCACAAGTGGAGCTGTGGCTCACACAGCAGAGTGCTAGCCTTGAGCAAAGAAAAATGCTCAGGGACAGTGCCCAAGCCCCAAGTCCAAATCCCAGGACTAGCATACACATACCAAAAAACCTTCTCTTTTATGAATGATGTGTATGTGTAGGACTGTAGATTTTCATAAACAGCATTACACTTAATCAATATTGTCCTAATATTTTAAGAAATACCTCCTAGAATGCACTAGCCCTTAACTGTTAGTTCCTTTTGTCTTTCTTTCCTTCCTTCCTTCTCCTTTCTCCTTTTTTCCTTTCATCTTTCTTCCTTCTCTTCCCCTCTCTCCCCCTCCCCTCCTTTCCCTGTTGTTCCGCTCCCAGAGTTATTTTTCAATTCCAGCTCTAGGCTCCTAAGAGCTGGGATCCCACCATGTGCAGTGGTCTGTCTCTCTACCTACTTGAGTAGCAATTTACCTTGTAGTTGCTTTTCAACTCTTTTCAGTTCCTGCAAGATAGAAGAAATCTCCTGCAGAGGAAGTAAAAACAAATATTAGCTTGCTATAAAACATTTTCAAGTGACAAGCAATGCCTCCCAATCTTTTTTTTTTTTTGGACATTTTATATTGGGAATCACCTGGGTAACAATATCATATGAAATATGACATCTAGTGAATAGGATTCAAATTTGGAATCTTTAACAATGAATGTAACACAGTAATTTTTCTCAATGAGATCTTTTCAGTAAAAGGTGAGAAGTTCAAGGTAATTTACACTGCCAAAGGAGAGATGGTAAAAAATCTATTCTGTTCATTCAACAGCTTTGTAACAAAACCTCTACAGATTTTCTTTGAGGAAACTGATGAACGACAACTTAAATACTTCTACAAGTATACTGAGCAAAACAATGATCTGTACAGTCTTTTGAAATTTTTTCCTCTATTTTTTTATTGTGAAAATACCATACAGAGGGGTTACAATTACATGGGCAAGATAATGAGTACATTTCTTATCAAGCATTGTAGCCTCCTCCTTT